GGAGGAGGAGGAGGTAGGAGGAGGAGGAGGAGGAGGAGGAGGGGAGGAGGAGGGGGGGGGGAGGGGGGGAGGCGGAGGAGGAGGAGGAGGAGGAGGAGGAGGAGGAGGAGGAGGAGGAGGAGGAGGAGGAGGAGGAGAGGAGGAGGAGAGGAGGAGGAGGAGGAGGAGGAGGAGGAGGGGGAGGCGGAAGAGGTTAGGGAGGAGGAGGAGGAGGAGAAGGAGGAGGAGGAGGAGGAGGAGGAGGAGGAGGAGGGAAGGATGGACGGATGGACGGATGGACGGATGGACGGATGGTGTCCCCCCACCAGGGCGGCATGCGCAGACCCTGGGTATGGTTCCCTTTAAGCATGGGGTTGCGGGCCTGGGAGGTCGAGACCAGCGACCCTGCAGCGACCAGGCGGGGGCCTCCTGCTGTAACCCTACCAGCCCGTCCTAGCCCAACCCAGCCCTACCGTCCCAGTAGCCCAGCTTGGAACGAGAGGTAGGGATGGAGGGAAGGAGGGAGGACCGCGGTTGGCAGCCAGACGAGCGACGCCGCCTGGCCTCTATTGAGTGGGGCTGGCCAGGCGTGGCCGCCACCTTCGTACAGTCAAGACGCTGAAATAAGCAACAGTTTGGGTTCGGAAGGGACCCGATGTTCCTTAGGTTCCTCCAGTGCTGTTCCTCTTGCCCTCATGGGGCACGGAGGCGCTTACAGGGCCAAGAAGGGGCTTCGTTCCTTATTTTGCATTCCTTCTTTCAGCGGCCCGACTGTACGGTTGTCCGACGCTTGGGGCTCTGCCCGGCTTCCCCGCCGCTGCCTTGGCAGCACACGGCCAGGGGACGCGAGTACGAGACTCTGGCACCGGAGGGAACCGCTCCAGGACACGAGGCACCCCCACCCGAGCCCGCACCCGAGCCCAGCCCCTTACCCAGGACTCGCCAGCGCGGTGGCCAGAGGCAGGGAGGGCGGGAGGGAGGGCCAGGAGGGAGGCCTGAGCCTTGTTCGTCCCCCCCCCTCTTCCCCCCAGGCTCACACTTGGCGTCCGGCTTGCTGGAGGCCCTGGGGTTCCGCTTCTCTCCACCTTTCGAGCCTGTGCCCCCGAATGCCCAGGGTCAACTTTGAATAGAGGGGGGGAAGGGGGGAGAGGAGCCAAAAGTTTTATTCTTTTCTCCATCTACGGTCACACACTTGAGAGCGTGGGTCGCAAGGCTAGCCGCGCGTCGCGTATCGCGGGGCGCGGTGCGCGAATCTAGGTGACCCAGGTTTGCACTGGTCCTCCTCCCCCTCCTCCCCCTCCCCCGTCTCCTCCTCCTCCTCTTCCTCCTCCTCCTCTTCCTCCTTCTCCTCCTCCTCCTCCTCCTCCTCCTCCTCCCTTGTGCGTTTTTCAATCGCACATGGCCATGGGGTCGCCGCCCCCGCCGCAGGCCGTCGGGAGCGTCGCAGGCGTGGCCCGCGGGGCGTCCGCGCAGGCGGGGGGCGGGGGGACCTGCAGGGGGCCTCGCCTTCGCCCGTGGCGGACCCTCATGGCTCTGGCGTTTCTGGGTCAGGGGGTGGTGTGGCGGAGAGGGAGGGAGAGGGAGAACGAGAGAGAGAGAGAGAGACAGAGAGGCAGAGAGGAAGAGAGAGAGAGTGATATCACGAGCGAGGTATATGTACCTGTATATTTGCATATGCATCACAGACATGTACAAATACACACCTATAGAGACGAGAGAGAGAGAGAGAGAGAGAGAAAAAAAGAGAGGGAGAGAGGAAGACAGGGGGGGACAGAGAGAGAGAAAGAGAGAGAGTGAGAGAGAGGAACACATAAAGAGCCTGCACAACATCTGCCCATCAGTGCAGTGCAGTGTAATCGGGCCGCCCCCCAGCGCCCAGCGCCCGACGTGTTCAACTCTGCACGAAGGCAGCCGAGGGATATATATATATATATATATAGAGAGAGAGAGAGAGAGAGAGATGTGTGTGTCCGTGATAGAAGCGCGCATCCTTCTCTCTGCCTTTGTGCTTCACTGTGACTGCAGCACACATTCGATAAGCAGCTTGGATCGGTGTTCGCGGTACTGGTCTTCGAGGACGGTCACGTCGATGGGGGGGCAGGAAAGACCGAGGAGGGCCTGCGTGTTTGATGTCCCGAACCAAGAAAGAGCTTGTGCCCCAGGGGAACTTACCGCACTGTGCGGTCGGGAATGTCTGGCGGTTTGGTTCGCGTGTCGCTCCAGCAGTTTTGGCCCACCACGCCTCGGCGCGGCACGCTATCCACCCGGCGGTCCCCAGGCGCCATCGTGCCGAGCTCCCCTCAGCCTCCCGCCCCGCGGAGCGGAGCGACACGCTATCCGCCAGCAGGGCCCAGCGTGTCGCCGGGGCCGCCGCGGCGACGCGGCGACACGCAGAGCAGGAGCTCCCGGCCGCAGCCAGAGCGCGCGCGCGGCCACGACAAGCGGGCCAGCAACGGACAGGAAGAAGGGGAAGCGGAGGGCATGGCCGTCGACTCGGGCTCCGCGCTCGTCGGAGCGCTCGGTGCGCCCCCGCCGCCGCCGACGACGACGACGGATGACCGACGACGGAGGCGGCGACGGACGACCGACGACGGAGGCGGCGACGGTCGACGTTTGACGGACGACGGCGACGACCGACGGACGACGCCGACCGTTCCCACCCGGTGGATCAGGATGGGCGGGCCCGATGCAGTAACCTTGCATGCTGATGCGCGAAGGCTTGCTGGCAGTGCGTCCGACCCCACCTCCACGTGCCCCCCTGCCCGCCCGCCCTCCATCCCGGTCCTTCCGTTCCTCCTCTCGCTCCCTGTCCCCGGGTGTCCCCTCGTCTTTGCCGCCGCCGCCGTCGCCGCGGGCGCCGTCGTCGTGGCGGCCGTCGTCGTCGCCGTCGCCGTCCTCGTCTTTGTCGTCGTCGTCGCCGCTGTCTAGGGGGGCGGACCCGCCACCAGGGGGTCGATCTGCGCTGCTGGCGAATCCCCCCGCCGCCTGGCAGTGCGGCAAGAAGAGGGCGCGCAGCGCCAGTGGACGTCCAGCGCCGCCTTGCGCAACCTGCCTTCGGGCAGGCCGCGGGGTTTCGCTGAGTCGTTGGCAGAACTCTCGAAGAGGAGTGTGCACATCTATCTATCTCTCTTTTTTGCATATGTGCATATATATATATATATATATATATAGATATGGATGTTTGTATATATGTCTGTGTTGACAGCTTCCTCTCTCGTCTACCGGAGGGGGCCCGTGAGAAGCGGCACGCTTGCGGAAGAACGGTCGGTGACGAGGACGAGGACCACGACGACGGACGACGAACGACGACCGCTAGGCGACGACGACCGACGACGACGAGGGCGAGGATGGTGACGAGAACGACGACGACGACGATTTCGACGGGAACGCCGATGACGACGAGGAAGGCGACGACGACGATGAAGGCATGTCAGCAGGGGTGTCGACCGAAATGCTGCTTTCGGGCGGATCTCCGCTGCTTTCTAGCGTCCTCAAGACATCGAGGATAATTCGAGTAACTAGTTTTTGGCGTTTTCCTTTGTTCTCGGCCCTCGAGGGGCATCCGGAGGCTTCAAGCTGAGCAGATCTGCCCGACATCAGCGCTCTGAACAAGAAACAATGAAGGCTGGCTTTCCTGAGTATGGGCCTCCCAGGTTTTTTTCGGTCGAAGGCTCTGCGCATTTTTCTGTTGCTTGTCTTCCTCGGGCCTCTTGGGGGCTTCTCGTCGTCGCGGCTGGGCTGGATTTTTCGTTCGAAATGTTAAGTCGGGCCTGTCCATCTACAGGAGGAGTATTCAAAAATAGTAAGAAAATAGTATGGGGACGATCTTATTTTAATGTCATTTTTGCATATTTTCGGGTATTTCCCCAATCAGAGCTTGCCTCTGTAGGGGTCCTAGCGAATTCATATGGTTAGGTTAGGTTTGCCGCCAATTTTCGCCGCACGCCCGGGTGCCCGGGTGCCCGGGGGTGCCCGGGTGCCCGGGTGCCCGGGCGTGCCCGGGGGTGCCCGGGTGCGCGGGGGTGCCCAGGGGTGCCCGGAGGTGCCCTGGGGTGCCCGGAGGTGCCGGGGGGTGCCCGGGTGCCCGGGGACCTGGGTGCTCTATCGCCCTCTACCTTATAGTCACATAGCCCCATAGTTCTATAGCCATATAGCCACATATACCAACAGCCCTATAGCCCTATGGCCCTATAGCCCTATAGCCTTATAGCCCTATAGCCCTATAGCCCCGTAGCCTTATAGCCCTATAGCCCAATAGCCCAATAGCCCAATAAAAACCCAATAGCACAATCGCCCAATAGCCCATATAGCCCTAGAGCCCTATAGCCCTATAGCCCTGTTGCCCTATAGCCCTACAGCTCTGAAAAGATTATGATAGTTTTTTTTTCTCCGGTAGCATTTTAGACTATTTTTATGTTTCGTCCAAATTCCCCCTGTAGGGGGACAGGCCCGACTCAATCGAAATGCTGGTCAACCTGCCCCCATGGACAGGTCCACGGGCTTGACCGACGCGCTCTTCTTGGCGAGGCTACCCAGGCCTCCAACGCCCTGTCAGAGAAGAAGGCGACGGCCACCTGTTCGGAGTTTGGGCCTCCCAGGGCTCGTTTCGGCTTCCAGGGGCGCAGGAAAGACTCGGGAGGGGAAAAAACATTCAGACACAATGAATCGTGGAAAGTAGTGGGGGAAGACGAAAACCCAGAAAACATGGGAAATTAGCTATTAATCTTATTTGTGTGTATTTATTCGTGTGTCCTTGGGTCCCTTCAAAGCCGACCCGCGGCGCGAAACCTCTGCGAACAGCGGTGCCGAGAGGTCCAAGGCTTCACCAGCTGAAGCTTCTCGGGGACGTGCCCAGCCCTCTCGCGACGCTTGGGCACTCTGGGCGCGAAGCTCGCCCGGAATTGTTATGCGTCCTTGCTCCGGTGGGTCTTCCAGGTGGATGGATGCCTTTCCCAGTCTAGGCAGCTGTTGAAGACCATGCGTAAGTCCATATTCTTCTAGGCCCAATTAAGGGCCCGCGCCGTATCCGTAGTGAAAAGCGAGGCGCGAGAGTTGTGGGATTGCTCAATGCTGTTTTTGCTTCCGTGCAAGAACTTCTACCTGGTCAAGTCGAACGGGCGGGTGTCCGAGGGGTGAGCGCCGTTCCTCGAACTCGATCCACGACCAGGACGGCAGAGGCGAAGGTGTTCTGGGCAGGTGCAGCGCTCCGTGATAATGGGTGGCCCGGGCGGCGGAGAAAAAAAACGACATCGCCCAGAATATTGTGGCGCCTAGTGCAGCTCCAGAGTTGTTTCTTTGACGCGTTCCCTTGTCTGGTCTGTAAATCGGCACGCGGTGCGCGGACTTCTCCGCCTTGGTCTAAATCGCGTGGGGCGCGGAATGCTGGCGCCCCCTTGATGTCGAGGGGCGTCAGATCGATGGGAACGGCTGCACATCTTCAGTCGGCGGCCATCCAGACCGCAGTTCACGCGTTTCAGGGCGACCATCAACCACTCGAGAAGCTCAACATGCGTATTCGGAAGGTTGCCCCTTATTCTGTGATGCGGTTTTCGCTTGTTTATGGGAGTGCGCAGCGGGCCAGAGGTGGCGTGGTTAGAATGCCGCGCGTGGTCCTGATGTCAGGGTCGCGTCTCGCGTGCTTGTCGCTGCGGGGGCGAGTCGGGCGATCATGTTCAATGGTGCTTCGGAGATCAGGCGCACCTACGTTCGCGGACACGGGCTCCTCCTGAGATAAGTCTGAGCAACTGGCGCCGCGCTCGAGGCCGACGCTCTGCTGGGCGAGGGCCGACCCTCAGCGCCGCGCGAGTATCGGGTGACTTCAGCTTTGCGGCCAGCATCGCGTTCGATCGCAGCCGAGATCATCGCAGGATCAGATTAATATATCTTGCAATGTGGGTTCGCCCCCCGAAGCTGCGACCGACGCTTGCATCTGCGGCCGCGCCGGCGCGCGAACGATTTTGAATATGGGGTCGCGCGCGCCTACGGGCGCGCCCCCGCTTCCTGGAACAGATTTGAACAAGGAGGAGCTCGCAACCGTTCTTGACCAGCTGATCAACCATGCGCTCGAGCACCCAGGGCAGGCGGCCCCCCCGCCGCGCCTTCCGAGGCTCGGAGTCGACCCTCGAAGCTGCCGACGCCGCGCCTAAGGCGATGCTGTCGCAAGACCCGGGGCCCTTCGAGCGCCCGCTCATTTTTGCTGGGCAGGCGGCCAGGGCAGTGCGGCGACAAGATTGCGTTATGGCGAATACGCTCATTCAGTCCAGCGAAACGCCGAGGGCACGTTTGGACGTTGATCTGGTCGAGCGGAAGGTTTTCCTCGAATGTCTCAAAGGGTTTTGGTCACGGACGGGGAGAGGCATTTTCGTGGCAGCCAATCGAGAAACTGATGGCCTCGTGACGGACGGGAGTAAGGGAACCGGGAGTGCATTAGGGGCCAGATTGCGGCCGGTGAGGGGCGCGCCCCACTGGGCGCCTTTCTCCAGCCGGTCGAGTTTGAAAGGTGCGCGTGCTGGGGGCGAGGTCAGCATCGCTGAACAGGATGAGATCAACGCGCTCGCGCTTTGCCAGCCCCCGTCTCGGTGGCCGCTCCACTCGACGCGGGCGCTGTGGGAATTCCAGACCGCGTGTAATTGGCCGGGAAATGTTCGACAGGGTGGGTCGCGGTTGGCACCGTCGGACTCTGCCGCGGAGAAAGCAATAGGGCCCCGTGCCGAGCTTGGATTGCGACGCCACGCGGTCGCGACGTGCTCTGGGTTGGATGTCGTCAGGGCATCGCATCCAGCGCGAGGCCGGCGACGCGCGCCGAGCCGCTCTTTCTCGAGGTATCCGGGCCGACGACTCCGAGCTTAACGGTGTCGCGCGGGGCGCCTCAGGCATTGGGGCGCCCGGCTTGCGCGACGCGGATGTCAAGGTCGGTCCGGCCTTCTTCAACGCGGCGATTGCTCTAGCTGTTGCGTTGGTGGCCTTTTGTCGCCGGAATGTTGCATCGCTCGCAGGGCGTTCGCTGAGGACATCGCGGTGCTCGGCGTGGAAGCTCGACGGGTGGGCCTTGGGCCTAATTTCAGAAGCTCACGCGCCCGCTCGTGGACTTGATTTCGGCCGATCGCCCCTCTCGTCCAGCCAGCCGCGCGCGGCGGTGATCCTCGATGTTCGGCCGTCCCAGTGCCTTCCGCGAAGTGGCGGAGGCGCTCTGCTGTTTTGTCGTGGCCGTCGCTACCGTCCGCTCTGCGGCTGTCCCGATGTGTTGCCCTAGTCGTGGCATTCTTCGGTGGGGTTGGCCCGGGCGGCTCTCTCCCTCCGCCGTCGCGTCGGCGCCGATCATGCGCCGACTGGGCAGCGCCTTCGGCGGCGCTGACTATCGGTGCTTCCGAGACCATTGAAATTATATTGTCTGTGCTCTTTTCGACGGGCGTGGTCTCTGCTCATTCCTTTCGATCGCGACGTGCGCGAGGATTCACGCGGCGCCCCATCTCAAGCCGCAGCGCGCTGCCTCGCCCCTGTCCGCGGGCCGCTCGCGGAGGA